GTGCGCATATAGTGGACGGTTTGGTCCCACTTGGCTATCTGAGTGATTCAAGCCTACATGGATGTTCACTTCCGTTCACTCCTTCCTTTTTCTGTTTTACCATAGTTCCGCAAATTTTTAAATCAGTCGAAAATATTGCGATAGCAACCCGCCCTTTCGCGATATTCTTCGCCGTTCTGTTACGGCAACGACTTTGATCAACCTACAAATTCTTTGGGGTTGCTTTATAAGGCGTGAATAGTTAGCCAAGTGCAGAGAGCTCTCGTGTAAAAAGATCTGAGGAATCTATCAAGGAGTTTGGCTAGATTCAAGTTTTATTTTCCGCTGCTGTATATGGTTTAGTCTGAGCCAATATTCTGAGAACGAATAATGGTAAATTGTAGGTGTTTTTTTTACTAGGCGACAACATTGGTCGGAATGATGCAACGACGTTTGCGATTGCTTATATTGCGTCATCCCATTCAAAAATGTGGAGACATAGAGGAATGAAAGGAAAGCAGCACGGATAGGGCAGCGGGCTACTGCACCATTTGGAAGCTAGTACCTTTAGCTATGTTTTTAAATTTGGCAAACCTAGCCGCAGAAGACGTTCTCGTAAAATTCAAAGCCCGAGTGGTCAAAATCAGCGCCGGATCAGGTGTCATGAGAGAAAAGTGCGCTGTTTAAATTTGAACTGTGCTGGACCATTAGCTGCGTGTAATTGTGTTCTTGAAATGCTAGGTAGAAGACGTGGTTTAGGAGCCCGTACAAGGAAGAAAGGAAAAAATTTGTTGTCATGGATGATCCCATAATGTTCATAATGCACAAGAAAAAAAGGGTGAATGAAGTCAAGCGCTGAATGCCTGATCACAGAGGCTGACCCTTGTCAAGCTTCCTCGCGAAACTGACATCCCTGCTGCAACTGCTGCCCGAGTTATATCCGATAAATTGAGGATGGTCAAGAGGGAGTGTAATTTTCTTGCAGAAGCACGAACGCAGTCTTATTCTATTCTTCTAGAAGTAATGTTATCCGCACAGGATGTCATTAACGACTGTGAAAACGCACCGTAGCCCTGGACGAAATATGGGTGGTCTTGGACTCCTAGCCAACACTCACAAGCGTCAGTTTCGTACGAATGCAGATGAGAAGCCGCCTGAGTTCTGCCATGAGGAGTTACGTGAGTCCAAGTGGATGATCATCATAGCAAAGGATTGCTACACTGCTACACTGTTTCGAGAGGCTTTATGCAGAGAAGAAAATCATCGCCGTTGGTGTATTGCCTGTTCCACAATCAGATCAACAAACGGATGCTACCACACGACTACAAGAAGGCCATCGTTGCTCGTCATAGTGCCAGACTCCGAGTAGTTGTATTATAGGGCAGCGCTGGGACGCAAACTAAACTGAGACCTTGGTTCATCATCTCATTCACCCAACATAAAGTGGTGGATTTCAACTGTAGGTCAGTCGGAGGTGCTCTTCGACGGCAAACGCTACGACATTTTGTCATTCGCCGAAATTAGTATCAACAGCAATTCACTCGCGTTTGTTGAAAAAAAGGAGGTACTAGTGGTCCAAACGCTTTCGGGGATTTGTGAGTGGAGTGATGAAGGAGGGATCTGCTTGACTTGGAGCCAAGACACTTTTTTATCTATTCTCCTCTTCGTTTTATATGAATAAAACCTTCCACATTTTTGAATGGGATGACCTAATATATGTTTCGCTGGATGAAAATGAATTTGTAAAAAATATTTTCTCATTCTTCAGGTCCTAGCGCGCCTTACGTCTTGGTTGGTTGTGAATGAGGATGAGCGGAGCGTACTGTTAGTGTTTGCTGCGATTTTCTTCCTTCTGTCAGTTATCTTTGCCACCCAGGCAGACTATTTTTTTGATATTCATCTCCTTGCCGGTTAGTTTCTCTGGATTTCGTTTTTTTTTCAGTTTTGAGGAACAGTAAGCAAAAGCGGTTGCGGCTGGAGGGGTTCTTGTGAAATCACATTTATTCCAACACTCATATGAGCACTTGAGTTGCAGAGACGCGAACTTCCGCTAGCAAAGGCATAGGTGTTTGGCTTGTCGGAACAGTATCTTCGTGCGTGTAATTTTGTTCCAAGATGTTTCCTTTTAGGCTATGACCGGTTCTGTTCAAACATCGCCACCCTGATGGCGGAGGTGGGTGTGGGCGAATATAACCTGACTCACGCAAGGGATCCAATACTGCTGTAGGTTCATGCTTCTCCTCGATAGCATCTATTGAAAAAGAGTGTTTGCTCTTGGTATGAATGAGTTTCTATTTACAGGTACGTCTCAATGTCGGTTCTGTTTTCCTTCATTGCAGCGATGTTAGTTTTTCCTAATTTCCGCTATGCTAACATGTATACGAAAGCTCAAGCGAAGGCCTCATGGCTCACCAAGTGCGTTTTCAGTCGGTTTTCGTGTCACCCATTCGAATATCAATTTCTTTCAGGTTGGCTTTGCACATAACATTCCTACTGCCACTGCTTACTTTGTTATCTTTTACGAGCCCTGTTAAGAAGCAACTTGTGTATGGATCTAGGAAATTGTAAGAGCTTTATAGCTTTTGTTTTTTTGTCTCATAGAATAAGAGGAGTTGGTGTAATGGCAAATGGCGGCGCTTGCCACAAGGACGCTCCGGTGGTCAAATCTTGGTGGGCTTCTGTCTGGATTAGCAAGCATTCGATCCGTTCGAAGTCGACCAATCGGTACCAAAAGTGTCTGGAAGGACATAAGTGAAGTTTTGTACATCCGCTCGCTTCAAAACACCGCAAGATTTCAGATGAAACTGGAATTCATAACGCATTTCAAGAGGGAGTGATCCATCTAGAAGTGTTTTTTTTTCTCAGAAGGTGTGGTTTTCAGATTGACTGAAGGACAGCTTGAAATACTGCGAATTTACTTGGTTCTGGCAACCCTTTTTTGCCGTGCAACTTTTCGAACTCCTCATTTGCAGGTACGTAGTCCCCACAGTTTACTATGATTACTATGAAAACCTTCAGTGCAGAATTTGAGCGTTCTTTTTCAGAAGTGGTTGTATCTCTCATAGTAGCGAATACTGTTACTCTTTGAAAATTGAATTGAGGTATTATTAAGTTATCCGGAAACCAATGCGGGTTTCGCTGAAAACATTTTTCAGAGGTAAAGGATTTCCTGCGAAGTTTGAAAAGAGTAAACTCAGCAATCTCGAAGCTTTCACTTCTACGGAGTAGATCCCGCCCGCCTCGAATGGCTCGAACTATCAATGGTGTAAAATGCAAGAAAGTTTCAGTGAGGGCGCAGTTCGTCGGTTTCATGAGCTTCGCCGTGGCGAGTTTGTGTTGAAACTGGGGAACGCTGCAGACATCCTTCCTCCATAGAGCGAGATTTCTGAACGAAGTTTCGTGTAAAAATGCTCAAGAAATTTCGAAAGAAGAGCTTGAAAATTTCTTACACATGGGGACTCACAAATTGCGTGAGTAGGAGCAGAGTCGCCAGTATGAGCTGTCGCCGTCACTTAGTCTACGCACCAGCACCGACTCTTTTGGGAGCGTATTGTGACGTAGCGTTGCGAAAAGGATTCTGTTGGTTTGGGGCAGCTTACCCCCCCCCCCTCTCCATGTTCGTTTGGGGCGGCTTGGCCCGCATGTTGGTTTGAGGCCGCCTCGCGGCGAGCCCCTAGGTGTGTGGTGTTACCCCTCGAATCTGATGACATAATATTCAATAATAGCGTTAATACGCCACGCTAAGAACAGATGATCTGAGAGCAAATTGTTTATGCGAACAACACAAACAAATTCCGACTTATGAGTAACAACGTCAGTGGGCACACCCGATCAAGTAACCAATGTCCGTACGGGTGAAGAAACAAAACAAACAGTGTCCGGGCATGTGAAGAAACAAAACAGTCTTGTAAACAATGTCCGGGCGTGTGCAGCACCAATGGAGGGGACTCGGCAAAGGAGGATCGGTAGACACAACAAAAAGGAGGATAGAGAGACCAAAAAGGAGGACGTAGAAAAGGAGCAGGAAGCAGCAAGAAGAGGGAAGCCACGTGATGTCTGCGCCTTTTCTAGTCTTCCCTGCTGCCACCATGGCTAAACATGTTGATATGTGCAATAACCGAAACGAACAGATTCGAGCTGTTAACACAGGTCACCTGTTACAACAATTCCTTAAAAGTTCTTCAGTCATCGACAGTCGGCGATGATAGCCTCAGTGGTAGAATCACTAAACGAAGCCTTACCCCACTTCTGGCCACCACATTTGCGCCAAAAGAGGTGATGCTTGCGATTGGATGATCTGTGGCGTGATTTACTCACCATAGCTTCCCGTTGCGGGGGGTAGAGCAGTGAGGTGCACTTAGGGAAGCAGCGAAATACACCAAAGGCTCCAACGCCTTCAACCGGCTCGACTCAAAAGAAAAGGCTCCTTCACCTTCACGAGAACGCGCAGCTACACGGGTGCTGCACAATTTGAAGGAGCTGGGCTATCGAATATTGCCTTATCCACAATTCTCGCGGGACACTGGTTATCACTTCTTCGAGCACCTCCATCCTTCTGCGCTTGGAATGCTTAATCGATTGGGCCCTTCTGGAACTATATTCACGAATTCATCGCCTGCAGATCGTCAGAATTTTAAATGACAGGAGTCGGTTCACGTGCAGCTTTTCGAGAGAGACTTTAGACTGTATTGGATCTGATTTCGACTGATTAGGTCTACACAGTGCTGATGTATTTTCTTTTCAAAGTTGAGGTCGAAAACTTGCATTGTCAACTCCTAGGGATCCTAATAATTCCGTCTAGAAGAAATCAATGTTTTTCGATTGATTAGTCCTGCATACATCTAACGAGGCCTTTACGCCTGCATTTGAAAGTCGTTATACGACGCCCTCATTGCATTTTTACTGTTTATTCCGTTCTCACTTTACTGTTTTTAACTTACGGCTCGTTGCTTCTCTGACGGAAGGAAAAACCAGGTTTACCACCTTCCTTTACCACTCTTGCAGTTAAGGGCTGATGGGTAATGTCTCTTATAAGGTATCGGGATCCAATCATTATTGGAAACCAGTTGAGCATCCAAATCGTGACGTTTATACATACAAATATCTCTGAAACTGGTCAGGATTTTTGTCTCCATCCATAGCCTGCTAGAAACTGAGCGGATGTCTTGCTGCCTGCAAAAGTTATCTTCAGTGTTGCTGCGAGCTCTTCTGCACGCACAGTTTGGAATCAGGACAATGTGAATTTTCCTCTACCATCATATATCGGTAAATTTCAGGCACACTTGAATCTCTCAGCTGCCAAATTGAACACCTTACAACGCGAAACTGGCTACATAAGAAATGTCGCTCTTCAGGCACTTGTAAGGTTCCATATCCTAAATGCTAAGCTAATTGTGAAAAAAGAACGAACGTTGTGTGTTGTGTAGTCAAATTTGCAGATTAGCTGTACTCCTGTGTTTGATTTCTTCGTCGGAATCCGATTCAATTTCTGGTTTTTCAGATTTTCCGTTATTATTCATACTTCTGTGCGGTCATTCTACAGTATTTCTCTCCCGTTCTCCTGTCGTTTTTCTACGCCCTGCTGCTAAAAACAACAGGTTTGTGCTTGCTTTTTTTCCGAAGGGACCCACTTTTCATAAACGATGTCCCATGTAAGCACAGTTTACTTCCAGGTGATTTGTCGTGGCTTGGTGCCTCGACAGAAGGCTTCACGCCACCGGCTCCAACTGGAACTTTTCGGTCAATTTTTGATCCGACAGTTTGTCGGGCGGTGTGGTCCTTTTCATTAGTGTTTGTTACATTCACCAATGTGGTTCTTTCTTTGATTGGAGTCATGTACAATTCCTATTTCCTTCCTTTATAATTGTTATTTTGATTTAGTATTCTATAGAACTAATAGGTTTAAAGTTAGCTGTTGGGAAAATTGCTCACTATTGCTCAGTGTTTTTTCCTCATCATGGAATGATTTTTTTGTAAAATCTCAGGGGTTCTTGAATTATTTATAACAAACGCGCTTATAAACAAGTTGGACGAGTCCCAGAACTTAGAAATTCAAACAGTTTTGTTAATGACTCCTCGGATTAGTAAGCACTGCCCTTCATTATTACACCATTCCGAAACGTAACTTTGGAATGCTTATGCGGAATATTGTGGGGGATTATCTTTATAAGCTTCAATGGAAAAATTGTCTACATCGTTTCGAATCACAAGATCACAGAGTGAAGGATCTGTAGAGACTAGAAGCTGTTCAGAGGTCGTCCTTTACTGAAAGCAAGAAAGAAGAGCTGGTGCTTGATGGTCAGGTTCCATTCTTGTCTACACATCTATCTTGTGAGACCGCCTACAGATTGAAAAATCGGAAAGGTTGACTCCTTTTGCCTGCAGGAATCGCCTCACCTATACTGACTTCCCCTGATCTTCCATAAACACTTTTTCCCTGGCTTTCCCTTCACGGACTTCTCGTCGACCGAGGAGGGGTATCAGCACTCTAGGAAGTAAAGTTGGCTAGAACGTTCACTATTGTTTACTACTGAAATGACTTTGAACTGGAATGAAAGCTCGAACAACCTGTCACTGCTCAGTCCTTCTTCTGAATTCTGAGATGAACACATACAAAATAATAGCAATGGAGGATAGATGCCTTGAATAACCAGCAATCGTTATTGGATATTTTTTGCTCTGTCAAAGCTTCAAAATAGTGTTCTGGCGCGTTATCGTCTCATTTTTGGGTTGAGTTCTTGGTGACAGCCTTAATGATATCGCTCTTTTCATAGGCATGACTTCTTGTTATTGAATGATATCTTCTTAGAATCTCATTCAATGTGGCCTCTGATCCTCTTTTGACCACCGATAGAGTTTGATTCGAAATAAAGATTTTTATTTCGGTATCGGTTTTCTAAGAAAAGGTGGCTTCCGTACATAATTGCAGTTGAAGCTTTAAAGAATAAATGATAAATTTCCGACAAGCAGTCTTTTTGAGAAATGCATTTGCTTCCATACAGGTTCGGGTGGTGGGGGCTAATGCCGTTTCTACTCTGGCAGTTTCGGCTTCGAGCTCATTTTAAAAGTGGCAAGATCACCAAATCCGCTAAAAACTTGTATATAGGGGTAATTCAACATCCTGATGTCGACTATGACATTCATTTTGGCGCTGGCGCTAATGGATGACATTACGGTTACCTGCGCTCTGCTAAGGCTGAGCCCAGGAGGTAATCGTAGTGTAATAATAATCCTAATCCTCTCTTGGCGCCAGCGCCGAGAATGAATGTCATACTCGTATTCAGGATGTTGAATTACCCCTATATGTATACAAGTTTTTAGTGGATTTGGTGACTTAGGCAATTTGAAAATGAGCTCGCAGCCGAAATTTCTGGAGTCCAAACGGCATTAGCCGAAAGCTCGGGTGGTTTTGGCGGGAACCAAGGGGATTCGATTATTAGACCTGCGCGTAGCAAACGGGATCGAGCGCTATTAACTACGTAATGTTAAATGCTCTTACAACTTAAACACAGTTACTTTCCGATGGGAGAATGTCTCATGTTCGGACTGGATCTGGAGTCCCGATATCTGTCGAATCTGCCAGCTGAAGAAGATGTGGTCAATTTGCTGATTGGAACTCACAATATCAAGATGGATAATCAAGTAGGTTATGGATAACGGTCTTACAGTGACCCTATTTGCTAAAATCGGCTTTTGTCGTAGATATGTCACCTGTCGTTGGACGGCGAGTACTCACGTATTTCGTCGTTGTCTTATCATCACGCAGCTGGAGAGGTGCGTGGTTTGGCTGCGTCACCCTCCAGGGCCGACATCGTCGCTTCAGCTGCAGCCAGTTGTGAGTTCCTTGGCGTTCACCGCAGATAAAGATAGAGATTTGAGGTGATCAGTACTGGCATTTTATGTGCTTGTTAGACGCTGCCTTCCACCTGTCTCGAAGGTAAATGCCGTAACGATCACAAGATAAGCTGGTGTGACTTCGCTATATTCGTCGAAAAAAGATTAGTCGGAATAGGCATCAACAAGTTTCTGCAGATGATTGAGAGCGATTGTGCTCACATACAGTCCACATCTCGCCGTTGAGGAAAAATGTCTATGAGGGGATTCGATCATTCGATGGGTTCGGCTGTGGGCGCGGCGGTTTTGAACCGCGGTAGGCAGAGTTGTACACAACATGCGTATAAAGGAGGGCACGACTCAAGCGTCAGTTCACCTCCAACTACGAGACATGCACAGACACATAATGGAAATATTTGCGGTGCCCATTCTACAGCAATTTCGGAATAACTTTCATTCTTATTGTCAGTTCATGGATCTCCAGCCACGTTTGGGATACATTTGTGGCAAATGGACAGTAGCAAAGGAGCATTGAAGGAACTGGCATCAATTCCTATAGATGATTGTCCTTCAAGGTGTGTTCTCTTCAAAAACATTGTGATTTAAAACTTGCTGAAAAATCTCTCATTCATCTCTGAAATTCATCTTTGAAACTATGCGAAACTGTTCTGAGATGATGTGCTGATAACTTTGTAAGATACTGAAAGAAACTGTAGAAGAAACTACAGTTTTGCATTTGTGAGATAGAATACGACTGTGCACTGTCCAGCAGGCAAGGCGAGTATTAAGATATGGACAGTGAATGGTATTCACTGATTGTTGTTAATGCTGCTCTGTTAGAGGATCATATCAAATTCAGAAGTAGCAATACTTCCTGAAACTCCACCTTTGGGAAAATCACTAATATGAGAGCCCCCTATCTCTCCACTGAACTTACCACAAATCTTTCAAGAAATACTCAGCAAATTCTTCGTTCCTATTTCTAACTGGTTCGTGTTGCTCAAGCAATGAGACGCCAACGTAGTTATAGCCTTCGGCAAGAACTACTTCTCGACGGATGCTCTTCCCTGCACTCCCGTGTTCCTTAGAGCCCATCTGAATGACTGATTCTAGTATAATCGTCAGTGCAGTCGGCATTACCTATGCAGTAGGCAGGAGCACGGCCAAAAAATGTGGAGAGCACACGCTTTGTAGGAACGGGAACTTGTTCACACTGGGCAGGGGGTGCGCTTGACTGAACCTCACTTCAGTCGAAAAACGTGAATCGCTTTGGAATTGGTCAGTGACCGGGTAGTCACCAACTAGGTTTTTTTTTGGAATATCGAATATAACCGGCAACGGAAGGCGGACATAGTGTCAACCCGTGGTAGTAGAACCTGCAGTTCATCTTATCGAAGCGTGATAAAAAAATAAGTTATTTTCGGATAGTCATAGAGTCATAATATGCATTGCTTTACAGCTATGAATGGGATCAGCAAAGTGGACTTTCTTCCTCACTTTTTCAGTCGTTCTTTCAAATTTATCAATCAGAGGAAGGTTTGAAGGTAGGTGACTTACTGATAATTTTGTAGTGGTTGTAACGAATAAAGTATAGTGCTTATATCTTAATCTGAATAAATGAATGAAGCAGATGGCTGTCTTATTCAGTGCTAGTAAAGCGTGACTACAACCAAAATATCAGCCTAGGTGATACCGCCACACGGTTTGTGGTTCTTCTAGCGGTTAACTCTCTCTTATCCTATCACACCCACTCCCCACAGTTGCTGGCTGCGAGCTCCTGCAGTGACTTAGAATGCACTCCTCAGTTGTTTCACATGAAAGAGTTAGGGGTCACAATTCGAACATCATCCTAGTTTTATACCGCAACATGGACTGCCTTGGGCGGTGATGTCCGTTCCTCCTCGTGATGCCGCTGGAGACTGCCCACTCGTAAGAGTGGTGGTGAGCAGAATGCGGACAACAGTGTCAGACCCGAGCGACGCTCGGCTGTAACTTCAAAATCGCAACTATGGATAGAGATGCCATTTCAGTGAATATACTAGGGCGTACCTCAGAGGCGACGCGCGGTGGGTTCGCCCGAGTACCGTGTTAAATGAAGGAGGGCTACCGGTTCAAGGGTGGAACCGGCTGAAGAAGAGAGCCCAATTGGAAGCCCAACCGTGAGTTGCGAATTGCCACGTTGAACATAGGCACTCTAACAGGATGCAGCACCGAACTCGCGGAAGTGCTGAAACGACGGAAAGTGGACGGTGCATGCGTACAGGAGACACGATCGGAAGGACAAAAATGGTGCGATGTTGAAGAAGGATACAAACTAAGCTATGGTGAAACCAACAGCAAAGGTGTGGCTATTGTTGTCAACGATGAAATGCGCAGCAGAATCTCAGAAGTACGGCGCAAGTCAGACAGACTCATCCTGCCATAATTCATGTCGCGGCATGTGTTTTCGGCATACGCCCCACAAAATAATTGCAGCGATGTGGAAAAAGCAATTCTGGATAGAATTACAAGAGTGCGTTGCAGAAGTTCCTGAAAAACAGTTGCTCTTCCTCTGTGGAGACCTGAATGGCCACGTTGGCAGTACCCAGGGCGGATACAACTGTCGTGGAAACAATGGATATATTGTACTGAAGATGGCCGACGCATTCTGGATTTTGCTGAGGCAAATGATCTTGCTAGCTGCGACACCTTTTTCACGAAGCGTGATAGCCACCTTGTCACGTACGCCAGCGGTACAAAGGAGAATCAACTTCATTCTAGTAAGGGACTTTCCTCGCATAACCAAGCCAAGGTTATCCCATCTGACTATGTGGCAGTAGGCTAGTCGTGGCTGATACGTAGATATCCTCCGCAACAAGAAAATCGGCACGTCTGTGGGACCGGATCAGATTAAATAGTGGAGACTACGGCAAGCTGATCAGGCGGCTGCAACTGCGGTGGCTGTTATCTTCCTCCTATTGATGGGAGCTCTGTCGAAGAAGTGTGGTCAACTTTCCCCCACTCATTCACAACGGCGGCCAAAACTGCGATAAGAAGCACGAAAGCAAATCGACATCGTATCGATAAGCAAGCGTGGTTATGAACAGAAGAGGTCAAGCAAAACGTGAAATAAAAAAAGTGGCGTACAAGAACTGCATCGCCGAGAAAACTGCCGAAAAGTGGAGAGTTCATGCCAGAGCTAAAAAGGAAGCCAAGAAAGCTGTAGCTCCAGTCAAAGCAGAACATTACCGAGACTTGCATGAACAGCTAGACACCAGAGAAGGAGAGGAAAACAAAACCATACCGATTTGCAAAAGGACGGGCACAAACAGCAAGAGACGTTGAACATTACATGTGCGTCAAGGGTCCAAATGGACAACGACTGCACAGCAGACGAGAGATACTGAACAGTTGGCAGCAACACTTCAGCGAGTCTCCGACTTCGAATTCGCCCACTCGCCAATTCCAGAAGGAGCAAGGCATGCTGGTCCAGTCCCTCGGATCACCATCGAAAAGGTTGCCAAGGTTATAAGCAGCATGAAGAACCGTAAAGCGCCAGGACCAGACCACATACCTTCAGAATTTTGGAGAATTAAGGAAATGCGTCAGAACGGAATTCCATGGCTTACACAAATCCTCAACGCCGTTGTTGCTTCAAGCAGGGCACCAAGCGATTGGACAACGAGCATAACAGTACCAATACTGAAAAACGAAGAAGATCTTGCTGAGTGCTCTGACTATCGTCCTATACGCCTGTTATCGCATACAATGAAGATCTTCGAGCGAATGCACGACCGAGGACTATGCGATATGGTGACATTGATCAGTGACCAGTGTGGCTTTGTGAAAGGCTCTGGAACAACCGACGCAATCTTTGCTGCACGTCTGCTCAATGAGAAACATAGAAAGAGGCAAAAACCACTTCACATTGCCTTTTTGGACCTTGAAAAAGCGTACGACCGCTCACCTCATCAATCAGTCTGGTACGCACTTCGTAAACATAGTGTGCTTGAAGCTCTTATCAACTGGATCCGGATGTTATATACAAAACCCACCAGGCGAGTGAGATGCGCAGCCGGCTTATCAGATAGCTTCTCAATGAACGTAGGCGTTCATCAAGGATCAGCGCTCTCGCCATTGCTTTTCAGTCTCGTCATGGACACACTCACACGGTACCTGCAAAATGAAACGCCGTGGACTCTGCTTCATAGTGATGATATCTTTCTCGCAGACGTCAACAAAATGGAACTTCAACGTCAGGTCCAGATGTGGAACGATCGTCTGAGCCGCTTTGGTCTTCGCCTCAACATCAGGAAGACAGAATATCTAGAAACCAACGCATGCGATGGTACCATCCAAGTTAATGTAAGACTTAGCGAAGACCATCTCCTTCAGATATCTCGTCTTCAAAGCGGTGGTGGTGGATGATGAGATACGAATAGATGCGTCGTGTACGCGATGGAAAGAGATTACTGGAGTACTGTGCGACAGACGCATGCCATCTCGCCTCGAATCAAAGATATATCGCCCAGTGGTCCGCCCGGTTGCGCTATACGGATCCGAATACTGGCCGATCACTGGAAGCGCAGAACGTCAACTGAACACTGTGGAGATGCGGATGCTGCGATTTACAATGGGTATTGCACGCCTTCATCGCATTTGTAACGATGTCGTCCGCCGGCAGATGGGCGTAGTGTCAGTTGCAGAGAAGATGCGAGAACGACGGGTTCAGCGGTATTGACTCATCGTGCGCGCCGCGTCCCATACCGTCGCTGCCACGGCGTATCTTTTCAAAGTGGATCGCCATTGGCTCAGAGGTAGACCCAACAACGTTGGCGGGACACAATCAACGCGGACATGAAAACTGTCGACCTGAACAAAGAGGATGCGTAGACCGAGCAAAGAGGCGATCATCGATCTGGAAAACGGACCCCGCACCAGCGGGACAACTTGGACTGCCTTGCGGTTCTGCGAGAGGTCGATTCGTCTCCTCTTTTTACATTACCATACGATTCTCTATACAGAGGAGCGTGTTCACTCGATTCTCTTCTGGCTGATATACCAACACCTCAACACTTTCGGGCGGTCTGGTGAGGAATCGAAGAGGTCTGCTCTGTTTTCCTGCTTCTGGGGCCTTTTCATGGCTCTGTTCTTAAAGGCAGTTGGCACGATGGTTTCCTGCTTAGCCTAAAAGCTAGTAGGGCGCTGTATATTGGGGAACTGGCGAAAGAGCGCAGTAAACGGTCAAAATCCGGCGAAGAAAAAGCCTTCGTCCTCAGTGACTTGTAAATCGATTTCGGACGAGTTTCCCGTACGCATCTTGCCAATCACCTCTACCGAAGGTACGGATGCATATGTGTACCCGCATGTGCATGCAGCATCACCGCCGCTTCATACCAATCCCTTTGTTTTATGATTTGCTCAGCAAATGACTGAATACGAGCGTCAAACGGTCGTCCGTTTGTGGGCGGGCGGGCAAGGAAGGCGTTTGGGACGTAAAATTGTTGCTCAATAGGACGTTGTAGAGGTACCACCCTTGGGAAAGGCTTCACGCAGCGCCTGTCCGAGGTCACGGAATTCTGTTAAGCCAGTTGTACAAATCCTACACCTGTATAACGATTTATCAGGCCAACTGCCTTTAAGCCTCGAAACCACATCACAGAGTGGTCGTCAGCAAGCTGGGAGAGCTTTAGCATTGTGGGAACCAAAGACACTTACACTGGCAATTGGAAAGGTAAAAAAACTAAGGAATGAAGCTTCCACCGTCGATCATTCCCTTTTGGGAAACGCTTCCGTCAGAATCGTAGTGGCTGATTGTATGCGATGTTGCCTTCACAATGAAATGTTAGGGCCAGTGAATGTGGGAAGTCGGAGTTTTTCATCAGCGCAGACCAATCTGCTAATGATTTACCGTACGAAGGTAGAAGACCTGAGCGGTCGCCAATTCGGGAATCACCAGGACCGTCCGCGTGATTAGAGCTGCACCACTGGCATATAACCTGATAAATTGAGAGGGAAAGAAACACACAGAAACAGAGCGAGTATCTTTGATATCGCGGCAATGTCAGGAGGTGAGGAATGAGCTCGTCTCGGCTGCGTTACTTACAACTAGTGATCGGTTAGTGATCGATTCAGGAAGAAAACCACCAGTGGCAGGAGATGCCGCAAGACTCGCTCCATGACTCCTGTCATCCCTGACTGTTCGCCTCGATATCAACTGTATGACTCACGCACCTATCCCAAAATTACTTTTTCATGTGAGATTCTATATCTTTTTGCTGGCAATGACTGGATTGATTATATGGATTCAGGTCAAGGAAAAGAGGTCACTCAATGGCACAGCACATGCACAGACTTGGAATCCCCACAGTTGTGGCAATCTGCTCGGCTTGGCTATTGATAAAGATATCACCTGTCACGATTTGCGAGCTGCCGTGTAAGTATTAACACCAAGCAACTTAAACCTGGACCGCAACAATGTAAGCTTGTGAATCCAGATGTAATCATAGAAACGCTGAGCAATTTCTGCTTTTCTATTCTCATTCGTCAGAAGCTTCCAGGGGAAAGTCTCTCCATGAGGTCGGCGACCGTC